GAAAGGCGATTAACCAAGAGTGGTCGGGCGAGTGCTCACTTATTGGTTCCAGCTCTCCCTTCTTCTCACTTCACTCTCACAATTCGAAGCAGGGAGAGTGAGTAGCGGAACAACCACGTCAGCAAGCAACAGTAAAAATGAACAGTGGACGTCGCAGCATATGGCGAGCGGTTTTTTACAAGCTTTCCTCTCGTATATTTTAGCTGCAAGCTCAGCAGGTCGAAAATTAGATACACTTGATACTCAAGAGGATATTGAAGACCTACGAGGATAGTTTCAAATTATACCAGTTTGCTCACACATACCTCAAGGCACAAGCTGGTGGAGAGCCTCGTCTGCATTTGTTTCACTTTTTCAGTGTAGCCACTGTTGGTGCGGAAATGCCTCCTTATTAGAACAAAGCACACAACTGAAGTGACTAGAATACTTGGTACAAAAAGCAGTCCCATTATCGATTCCATCAGATCCATCTACAAAGTTAGTTGGATAATTCAGGAGTTCAAAAACAGTTTCATGCATGAGGCCATACCGATATCGCATGGTGCCGCCCTGCTGATATAATGGAATTTCGAAGACTCACTACACCAGCACGAAAAATTTTATACTCACCGATAACGATTTTGCGATCCCGTAAGCAATAGCATAAATTGCAACAACAGGCGTAAAGACAACATAGAACTTTTTGATCCAGTGCGGTCTGAAAGACGGCCTTGGAAATGTTTGCCTGAGGTGTATGGTACACTGCGTTATAAATTGATTTTATCACAAACATCTGCCTTCACTTCACGAGCAAAATACAATGCTGCATTGGGGGGGGGAGGGAATATCAGCCATCTTGGGTATGAAACCTACTTCTAGTTCTGATGGTCCAGCAATGATTAACAACAGAAAAGGACACTCTCGTAGAAGCAGATTAGGAGCCCTCGTCTTTTTTTCCTTCTTTATGAATGTTACCCACGGAAATGTAATTGTTGGAACAGTAAACTTTGAGCTGTGTGTGGTTTGACACAATAAAATCACCTCAAGAAAATCAGCACTCGATGGATGTTGAAGACCATAATGAGAAACTGTTCCATAGCATAGAGCGAACCAATTAATAAGCTCAATATTCTCTCGACGACTGGACCAAAATGCAGAAAAGAGAAAAACATGACAGTTTCCCCAGATAAGGTCT